GCTCTAATCCTTGTCAGTTGTGAGAGCAGTAGCCCACAGCCACCACATAGAAGTGCAGAGATAATGAGCCCTGGACGAAAGTCTCCCTGTGTCTTTTCTCCACCCAGGCCCTCTGTCTGCAGTTCACACCCAGGCCCCGAGAAGCAGGGAAGCCTAGTGCTGTCAGCTGTAAATGCACTCCTGACCCTCCCTGTGCAGAGTCAGCCTTGGGAACTGGGTGGGGAGGTCTGAGGACCTCAGATCTGGGGACCTGAGCCAGACCTGCCCTGCTTTGTGCCCAGGCCTCCAGGGACTGGAAGACAGTGTGACACAGACAGAAGGGGTTTGTGTCTCACTTCCCCATCTGCCTGTGTCACTGTGAAGATCATAGTTGCTCTCATATGACTGACAGTAATAGTCAGCCTCGTCCTCGGCCTGGGCCCCGCTGATGGTCAGGGTGGCTGTGTTCCCCGAGTTGGTGCCTGAGAATCGGTCAGGGATCCCTGAGGGCCGTTTGCTGTCCTCATAGATAATCAGCACAGGAGCCTGGCCTGACTTCTGCTGGTACCAGTAAGCATAATAACTTCCAATGTTGTTTCCTCCACACGTGATCCTGGCCATCTGTCCCAGGTTCACTGCCACTGATGGGGGCTGAGTGAGCACATAGGAGGCCACGGAGCCTGCAAGAGAGAAGGTGAGAGGTGGGTTTCCAGCCTGGGGTGTCATCCCCCGAACACTCCCACCTGCCTGGCTTAAGCTCCAGTGATTCTCTAGGCCCCAGTGTCCACTCTGCTGTCATCTTAGTCCCTGGGGCCCATGGGCCCGCCTGGTGGATGGAGCCTTTGAACCAATGAGAACCACCCCCCTCCTTTCCCTGGGCAGGTGCAGCCCTTCAGGGCTCACACAGATCAGTGATCATGGTGGGGGGATATCACCCCACCAGCCCCCCATCCCACAGCAGGGTCTTGAGCATCCTGTCCCCACTGAGACTCCCCTGCTGAGTTCAGAGTCAGGACCAGGCTTGTCCCGGAACCCTGGGCCTGGGGTGGGTATGAGCCTGGGCACAGCACCTGTGCAGTGAGCGAGGAGGCCGAGGAGG